TAAGTATATATACAATAAAAGTATATAGATATATATATTGTATATATATATATATATATTGTATATATATATACAATATATATATACAATATATATATATATAAACATCAAAAACTCCAGACACCCCACGCGTGTTCACATACACACACCGCAAACTAAAAGAATTTAGGGTTTAGGGTTTAGGGTTTAGGGTTTAGGGTTTAGGGTTTGTTTTGAATTGTTTAGGGGCTCAACACGCCGCAAGTTGCGGCGGGACGTTCATCAAAATATCGGAGCCAGAACCAAAAAAGAAAAAAGCAAAAAATGCAGCAAGTAAGAGACATAAGGGTTTAGGGTTTAGGGTTTAGGGTTTAGGGTTTAGTCTTTTGGGGTTTGGGTTTAGGGTCTAGAGGTTTTTAGGAATTAGTGTTTAGGGGTTTGGGTTTAGGGTTTACGGTTGTTTTAGGGTTTAGCGTTTAGGGGTTTAGGGTTTAGGGTTTAGGGTTTAGGGTTTAAGGAGGCGTACTGCTTCTTTATGTGTTTGTTATCTCTTTGATTGTCGCGTCTTCATTGGATTGTTTTCTCTTTCGTTTTTGTTTATTTATTTGTCTGTCTCTTTGTTTGTTTTGTCTCTGTTTGTTTGTCTCTTTGCTGAGTTTGACATTTATCTGCTTCTTTATTTGTTTGTGTTTTTTATTGTTTTGCTTCTGTTTGCTGCAGCAACACAAACAACAAAGCCACGAGCCCTAGCGCTTCAGAATGCTGCTAGCAGCAGCAGCAACAGCAGCAGCAGCAGCAGCAGCAGCAACAGCAAGACCTCTTCATCAGTTTCAATTTCTTCTTTCTTCTCTAAGCGTCGCAAACTTCAAACGAAGGACGGTGAGGAGATTGATGTTATTTTTTTGTTTTTGTTTATATTTTTCTTTATTTTTTCTTATTCTTTAGCTATATATTATTTTTATTATTGTTATTATTGTTAATTATTATTAAAACAGCATGTTGCTGCATGCATCTTTTCTCGATTTGTTTGACTCTCAGGGAATGAACACCCCAATACGCCAAAAGAAGAAGGCTCTTCAACTCTAGCAGCAAAAGATCCTGCTGCTGCTGCTGCTGCTGCTGCTGAAGCTGCTGCTGCTGTTGCTGTTGCTGCTGCTGCTGACGGGTCGAGTCCAGCAGCAGCAGCAGCAACAACAACAACACGCATTGAGACACGCGACACCCGCACTGCAGAACAAATCAGAGCAGCGGAACTTCGCGCAGCAGCAGCAGAGAAACGTGCTGCTGCTGCTGCTGCTGCAGAAGGGAATGCTTCCTCATTTTAATTTTTTTGTTGCTGTTGGGTCGCCCCGCTCCCAGTTTGGGGTTGTGGGGCCGCCGATGCTGCGCTGCTGCGACTGCAGCTGTTGCTGTAGCTGCAGTCGCTGCTGCTGCTGCCGCTGCTTGTTGCAGCTAGTTCACGTTAGCAGCAGCAGCTTAAAGGCACTTCACTCGAGTGTACCTCAGACGCTGCTATAAAGGGAACGAACTGCAGATGCATGCAGGCTGCACGCATCTGCCTATACACCTGGTATCTCTCCGCAACTAAACGCTAGTTTTTGCTTCCGTTTCACCTTCTTCTGTCGCTGTATCAACGGTGTATATACACTGAAAAGGCAGCATTATTTGCGTCTCCTGCTAGCAAACAACTACTGCTTCGTATATCTTCTTCCTGATTATTGCGGTGTACGTACACTGCACAAGTTGCCTTCTATGGCATCGGTTTCTTTCTTTTAAATTGAACTAAGTTTAAAAAGGATTTCTTTAGACCCTGTTCTTGTTCGGATTGTCTTGGTTATAAAGATATATATTTTGTTTCTTTCGCATTTCCTTCAGTTTCCCTCCTGAAGCTCTTCCTTATGTGTGTGCTGCTGCTGCTGCTGCTGTGCATACACCCCAGCACTTCGTTTGCTGTGGTTCGCCTGGAGGCGTTTTTGTGGCTGCTGTTCTGTGAAAGAGGCACAGGAGACCCCAAACTAAACTGTAAGCTCCAAACCTGAAGCCTTTGTCGCTCCTGCAGCTGCAACAGCAGCCCCAACAGGGATGACGACTGTTTTTGATGCTGTTGCTGCTGCAGCAGCAACAGCAGCAGCGTGAGCAGCAGCAACAGCAGCAACAGCAGCAGAAACAGCAACAGCTGGAGCAGCTACAACTTCGTTCTCTCGCATCATACTGCACAGAATAACGTGCAGAAGAGCAACCAGAGCTCTGAACATTTCGAATAAAAAGGGTTCCACGCTCTCTGTGAATTACGCACACAACAACTCCAAAAATAAAATGAACACAGAAAATGCAGCAGCAAACGATGATAATAAGGCAGAGGCCTCATCGCCACGCTGCTGCTGCTCCATCATCAGCATTATCGGCAGCAATAAACTGTTCATAGGTCTTCACAGACACAGAAATAAACACAAAAAAAGCAGCAAAAGCAAATAAGCCGCAACGCCTGTACAGGCCTTAAGCGGCAGCAAACCAAACACAA